GTAGGTCTACAAAAAGGCCAAGTGCTATTGACTTCCATAGCTTATTAGGCAAACTAGGCTTTTGGAGCAGCATCTCAATTCGTTTTTGCCCCTCTGACCAATTTGTGATCCACCATAATCGGATCTGTTCTGTTTCAATAGCCTGTTGGTTTTGAAACCCGGAGATTGCATATCCTTTCTCTTTTGGAGCATATATCAGTGATGGATACTTTCTATTAGTTGTCTTGTAACTTATTTTTCCCTCATTACTTGCAGCTCCGTTGGTTTGATTTTCTGAATTCAACCTCAAAATCAAGTTATTAATCGTAGGTGTTGAAGGGTAATTACCTTGTTCTGCTTCTGTGTTTTTTTCCTCTTTCTGTAGTGTCTTGGTGGCTGTTCTGTTGGGTAGTATGTAGCTGTCCCGTTTCCATACTCTGTTCTCTTGGTGTGCTCTGAATGTTGTTGTGTGGATAAGCTTGCTCCAGTTGTGTAAATCTCTGGTTGACTGTTTCCATAAGCCGTGTATTCCATTGCTGTTGGATTTCTGCTTGTTGGTCCATGAACTGTTGCATACTTCGCATTATTGATGCCGAAGTTGTCTGAATTGCTGCATCTACGTAGGTCTTTAACCGTGTTTCTATGTCTGCCGCCGGTTCTTGTATTTCTTGGTTTCCTAAGATTGTTGCTACAGTTTCTATTGAGTCGTTAGATGCGGCACTATCGCTTCTGTTTTTCGCCGTGTTTCTGGTTTGTTTACTCATCTTCTGCGAATCTTGCCTCAGGCGGAGATGACTGCTGATCCTTTATGGTGGCATCTTCTTATATCTACTTCTGACAATGAAACATTGTTAATGATATCGTCATAGCTCCCAATTAGGCAGTTCATTAACTCCTTTACTTATCTGGCTTCGTAATTCTCTCATACTACTTGATTGAATTCCCGATTAGGATTAACAGCTAAATTCCGGCTTGACCGGATTGCTCCCAGCATCACCCTGCTTAGCTATCTTTTCGATCTATTGACTTACGTCAACTTGAATTTTTACCTTAAATTACCAATACGTGTAACAATAGCCTAAAATTATGAGATTTAAACTTCTCTTTAATACAACAAAGTAATTCATGGTATCAAAAGTACTTCTGGGCTATATGCCCGAATTAGTGGAAAATATTCTTAATAATTTAAATAATGAATTTCATTCCTTATACTCATGCTCACTTGTGAGCCGACATTGGTGCAAAGTATCAATTCCTATTCTTTGGCAAGATCCATTTTCAATCGCACGAAATCCGCAGTTCATTTCAAAATATTTTTCGTCGTTTAGCGAAGACGATAAATTAGCTTTAAATGTGTGTGGAATAAATGTTGAATTCTCCGAAACACTATTCGATTATGCAAAATTTCTAAAGGTTTTTAATATACATTTTTTAGAAACTAGGGTTATAGGATGGACTGATCTTGAGTTTGTTACTTCATCGAAAAATCGCATAATTATTATTAACTAAATTATTTGCCGAGAGTAGGGCCACTTTGCACAAATTAGATTTAACTTATTCAAAAACTCTTAGTTATGAAATTATTTTAGAGGTATTTAACTCATTAGGACGAAATGAGGAATTATTTTCACAGCTTCGAGAATTTTCTTTTGGTCTAATACCAGAATTCAACACCGAAAGTGCTGCTACATTATTAAGTGTCTTGGAAAAAAGTACTACGAAAATTATTGCTTTGAAATTTGACAGTTATAGTTCTAAAATTGATCCACAATTATTTCAATCTCTTATACGAATTATTAAATCGCAAGAGCAACTTAGACTATATAATATAGTTGGTGAAGAATTTGATACAGAATTCTTTGGCATCGTTTCAGCTTTAGAAAGTCAGGCAGAGCTTGAGGTACTGAAAAATTGTGAAAAATTAGAAACTCTTCGTATTAGTTATTGCGATGCGGAACTGTTGAAAATATTCGATAATAAAATCAGCACTTTAGAGATTATTGATTTCCAGATTAATGGATCGGCTTTAGTACAAATTTTACAAAATTCCGGCTTATTACTACAGCGATTAAAAATTGAATCAGGTAGACAGTTTCATGAAATTCCTTTATTACTAGAAACAATCAAGTCCTTCTGCCCGAACATCATATATCTCAACTTTAAATATATTGAATTTTCCACACAACTCTTAGAGTTTATTAGTAATTTACAAAAACTTCAATTCCTCACATTATGGTGCACTATTGATATACCGGAAGAAGATCTAAAAATACAAGTTATGCAGTTTGCAAAAATATTACCGTTAACATTACATTATCTTGACCTATCGAATAATCCTTGGCTAGAATCATATATCGATATTTTTCTTAATCATTGCAATGCACCTTTAAAGAAACTGTTAATTTATCGCCTTAATAACAAGAAAAATGCTAAAGCGCTAATCGAATTCTGCATACGAAAAAGATCTTTGAATTATGTGGGTGAAAAATCTCTTTATTTGGATTATAATATTAGAAAAGATGTGGAAGGATATTTCACATTTGTACCATTTGGACGCATTGTTGTTAATTGTTAATTCCTTTTATAATTAATTTCAAACAGTTAGCGTCATTCATAAATTTTTAAGAGCAGTGATATTTTTAATACACATAAATAGTTTGAAGTTAGAATGAATCATCGTTATAGTTATTAGGTCTAAATAAAATTTCTAAAATTAACGGCTAACGGATGATTGTTTGAAAAAAAAAATTTTAATAAATGAAAATGTTTGTTTCAAACTCTAGTGATAGTATTATGTTAAATATTTGTATAAATTTCTCTATACTGTATTGTTAAAGTATACATGCAGTATAAATACAACGATAATTTTTATCATAGTTTGATTGAACCAATTTGTAATTATGAAGGATTTATTTGATCAAAGGAGACTAACGTTATTTATGGGAGCTTTCAAGAATATAACGTATAAAATATGTTATGAAGTAGGATAAGATGGGTAAAACAAACCATTATGTACCGCGCTAATGGCAAACAAAGTGAGAATTGAAATTTTTTTTATATAGCCAACTAATAAAAATTATCCATTCAATAATCGTGTGATAAAGCAGATTTTCCTCATAGGATGACATTTATATAATTGGCTAATTTACAAAGATCAAATTTAATATGCAAAGAAATTATTAACGAGGCTATTCTTTTATTAACCCTACTCTGGTTTTTTTTTAACAGAATGCTATAGATTATTTCGAAGAATATAGTCAGATATAAACCAGATTATTTAATGTTATTTATTGGTTGTGCATTTGCTCGTAACCTGTCACATTTCCTTTTTGACTAAAGCAGTAAATATATTTATTAAAAATTTTATATATGTTATATTATGTGTGCTATATAATCAGCATAAGCCTCCCAAAATTTTTTATCATGCTCAGGTTGTATTTATTAAAAATTTTTAGGAGATTGGCTTTCAATTCCACAATTATATATAGATAGTGTGTTCTTATGTGGATTCCATCAAGGTTACTGAATATATATATGCTAAACTTTATATACCATAAAACTTAATATGTAATATATGCTTTATTATGCTGCTATGGCATTTTTAGTGATGTGTATTTGCAAAGTCTCATAACTAATTAGATAATGGATTTAATACAATGAAAACGTGGAATTCTCACTTAAATTTCACGATATTGCATCACATAGCACTATATTATATATCGTATTAGATTTGCTTAACATAATGAACGTTCAACTTGTGTTTTTTATTGCTTTAACAGGTTTTTGTCTTAAAGTAAATGATGATCGTTTATAAAAAATGTTTTTTTTTTTTTTATTATCATCTTCCAGAACAAGTTCTACGCCTCATGCGCTGGGAGTTTTTTTTTAATATTTTTGTTAAGGTTTATTGGTTGAGAAGAATGTTCTTCCATAAATTTCCCTATAAAAAAGGATTGTATAAAATTTATCTAATATCTGTGTTACATGTGTGAAAAATTTCTAAAAAAGCGCCATTCTGTCTATTTTTTGTCTAACTTTTGTCTTAATTGAAATAAAACAAAAATTGGACAGAAAGGCACCTTTTAAGGCATTTTCACACGCATAACACAAATTTTAGACAAATTTTATACATTCCTTTTTTATAGTGTTTTCGCACAAACTAATCATACAAAACATATCAAATATACATACAGATGAAAATTTGATAATATTGTTGTACTAAGTAAGGGTTTCTCAAGCACTTCACTCAATGGATCGGAAGTAAATTTTTAATTACACTCTACCCTCGTTATAACGGACCCTTCAGGCTGAAAGATTTTGTTCATTATATCCGTAATAAATGAATATCCGTTATCACATTATTACGGATTTACTAATATACACAAGGTATAATCCGTTATAACATAATAGCGGTTTCACTAATAGAGTAATATATAATCCGGTATAATGTTATTATAATATTTAAGTTAGAGAAAAAAGTACAATCTTTTAAATCCTCTTTAGTACGTACTTTTGAATATTTATAGTTAACACAAATATTTGGCCAGATTAAAAACTATATAACATTGTGCATAAAATATAGTAATGTTAAAGATCTTGCCTAGCCCTATATCTAAAAATCTAGTCTTGAACAATCTAAATATGAATTTATAGTCCTAACTTTAATATTGGTCCAATACGTAGAACATTTTATCATACTAATTTAATTATAAATGGCTATTACATATTTATTTTTTTTATTTTTTTTTATTTATTATATGTAACAATATCTAGCCACGATTTTATGCTCCTAATTTTTATTAATTTATCAAAAATTACTTTATAAATTTATATAACCTATAGATTTATTTAAAGATTTTCAATAATAGTTATTTTAAAACATAATAAAATATTGCCGCTTTGATAGTAAATACATATTTAAAAAAATTGTAAAAAAATAATAAAGAAATTTTATAAACTAGTAACTTATAAAACATATATTTAATTATCTTAGTCTTTAGTTAAAAAAAAAAAAAAAAAACTTAAAAGATTTTCTCCAAATTTTCGACTGATACACCAAAATCATCATCTTGTTGTAAAAGAAAATTAACCAAATTTCTTGCGAAGTTACTTCCTTCTTGTAAGGAAAAAATTTGTGGCTGTTCAATTGAGGAATTATCATTATTAGAATCGGATTGTACATCTTCATTCTCCTCTTCATTTTGTACTTGTACAATTATTATTTTATTATCTGGAAAGTCTTCGATTGGTAAAATATCATCAAGATGTAAGTACTCATCGGCACTAAGTAGATTATTTAATGGAAGTTTAAAAATCATCTCATCTATGTCATGTATTTGATTATTCAATTCACTGTCCTCATCAAAGATATTATTATTAAATTCAAATTCATCATCTTCAGTGGTAGGAAGAATACCAGTTCGTTTCCAACAGCTCACAATTGAGCCTGGTGTTACACTTTTCCATACATCAGCAGCTAAATAAATTGCATCAAGAATAGAAAATTCAGGTATTTGTACATTTGTATTTTGTTGATTATAAACTGAATCATATGCATCGACCCTATTTTTAATAAAGCCTTTTTTGTAAAAACATTTAAATGAGTGAATAATTCCCTGATCACAGGGTTGAAGGTGTGTAGTTGAATTGGGAAGTAAAAATTCAATACGAATATTTTTTAGATTAATGCCTTCTTCAAGTGCATGTACTGGTGCATTATCAATAAGTAGAAGAATTTTTTTGTCCTGTCGATCTAGCTGCCTATCCCAATTTTTAGAATTCTTGTCCAAATAGAAATCTTTAAAATAAATTAAAAATTAATTAATATTATTATAGCTATACAATAATTACGCCAAAATCAAATAAGTAATATACCTGCATCCAACAAGTTTTATTCCAAAAATAAGAAACTGGAAGATTATTTAAGTTAATATTACAAAGTGCACGTGGTCTTTTATATTTGTGTATAAATGCCAAGTTAAGTTTTTGAGTACCCGTTGCATTACAAGCAATAAGGCAAGTAACATGCTCTTTAGAAAGTTTATGTCCTGGTTGGCGCATATTGCTAAGAGTTCTTGTTGGTTCTTGTCTCCAAAAAAGGCCAGTTTCATCGGCATTTCAAACATCTTCTAAAGAATATTCTGATATAATTTTTGTAATCTACTTCGGTCAGCATTAAGTTCATTTGTTGATGGAGCACTACCACTTTCACCAATTCTTGTATATAATTTTATACCATTTCGTGCTTTAAATCTTGCCAACCAACCCATTTGAACCACGAAAGTTTTGATCACCAAGATCAGTTGCAAATCGTTTTGCTTTTTCTGCAAGAATTTCATCTGTTAAAGTTAATTGTTGCGCAAATGCATATTGTAACCATCTTTCCATAACTTTTTCAATAAGAGGATATCCTGGTGAATGTAATTTTTTTAGTTGAGCATCATAGTTATTATCATCAAGATATAACCATTTGTTTCGCTCTTTTCAAATATCTGAAATAGCTTGTGTGGATATTTGATATTTGGCAGCAAGCTCTTTTTGTTTAGGTGCATTTGGCTTAGAAAGCTTTTGACAAATTTCACGTTTAGTTATACCTGAAATTGATACACGTTTTCGCCCAGAAGCAATCTCCATAATGATGTAATTGCATTTTTTTTTTTAAAAAAAATGTCTTTTTATATTTTTTTTTAACTCAGATTGAATGACATAATTTGTACGTATTTTGCTTGATACTACTATAAACAATAAACTTAATATAATTCAAAAATAGAGATTCTCTATTTGAGAAATAAAATTAGATAAGCGTTCTAAAATTCTATTACCTTTTATTTATCTAATCAGATTTTCTAACAATAATCAATTCTAATACTTATAAGTAACCAATTTTTTAAAAACTTTGTGGCTAAAAATTAGAATAATCGAAGTATATATTTTATTTTTATTTTTTTTATTGTAGAGCTTCGAATTTCTTCTGATTTTATTTTCTTTTTCTTATAAAAAGTTAATGATTTTGTATACGATAATACAGCCTCATCTAAGATTAATCTTATTTCGGATTTATTTATCTTTTTTATTAATAACTATGAGTTTAATTACTTTACTTTTAAAGTTAGTATTGTATATTAATAATTATAGCGATAAGCAAACTAATAGTAATATTTATTAATTAACATTAATATTTAAAAAGGTATTAACCAATTTTATTACCAACATTAATCATTGAACGAATAGTTTTTTTTTATCAACGAAAGGTTAAATTTAGCTTTTTGTAGATGTATCTTGTTAAATACAGGTAAGTAAAATGATTTACAATCGTATGCTTGTTTTAAATGTATTCCTTATATAATATTAATGAAACAGGTTATGAATGTTAGTAAGTTAAATTAAAAAGTTAAATATGGTTATGCATATGAATATCAACAAAATGGGTAAGAGAATTGGGCCTATCGTTCTACCTTATTGTTATTTACTAATTGTTATATAGCCAAGTGGCTTAAATATCAGCAGTTAGATAGGTTATTTTCGAAACTGCAAGAGCAGTGCAAAGAATAAATTTAACATAATTCAAAAGTAATTCTTATTAAATTACTATTTAACTATAAAGTTTCTTCCTGTAGAGGTTAATATTGCTGTTGTAATAAGTTTAGTGAATAGAATTGTTGTTATGCCATGAGGCGGAAATTTTAAACAAAG